AACATCCATCCATCCAACCCTCAGCTGCCATTTATATTATGTATAAATCCCCCATCCCCTCGATCATCACGAAATCCACGCAGACTAGAAGCTGTTTTAATTGACACTGAAAAGCCGTCACCATCATCGCACTCCAGACTTCCCAGGCAGCGGAATATCGGAATCATCAGCATCCGTGGGCTTCCATTTGCGGGTCTAATAAAAAAGCTAACGAGACGAGGGCCCATTGAGATACACTGCATACAAATATCTCAGATACTGTATCTGTGTCAGTGCTGCCATTTTGTCCTCTTTCCGGACAGATCTGTCCTTTTTTTAACGGGTTTATCCGGAAAAAATTTCAAACATCCCCTATCCGGAAATCTGTCCTTTTTTCAAAAAAAAAAACTTGAGTGTTATTTTTGCCAGTCGAAAGTGTGTAAACCTGTTTTTATATGCTAAAACGCCTTTTTAACCATCAATCTTACAGTTCGGCACTTAAAAAATAATTATTTTTACAAATTATCAAAGAGACGTAAAGCAGTCGATGGATTTTCTATATAGTACGATTTTTTCTATAGCAAAAAAAGAGGAAAACACTTTAAAAATTTCTCAATTTTTACTCTCTGCTTTTTTGTCAGAAAAAAATTTCAGATTTTAACGACTCTTAAGGCCGGTTTCTCGAGTCCCTGTCAAAGTCCCTGATAGCTATCTGTTCGAAAAACTTAAATACCAGATAAACTGTTCGTAAAAGCAAATCCGCTTTCTCGACTGCTTTAATTTATCTGAACGAGAAACAATTACAGAGTGCTGTTAACGCACAGAATTGTGCTGTGAAGCGCAAAAAATGGCATGCTTCGATTATTTTATCAGCTGTTTGGGTATAATTTTAAGGAAAAGTCAGCTGTGATTTCGTTTCTTCTTCTTAGTTGGCTTTGGGAAATCAGCTGTCATTCTATCGAGTCGAAAACGCTTAACAGGGACTCCGAGTCCCTGTCAAAGTTAGCTCTCACATTTATGCTCGAGAAAGCCAAAATGCCTTAGCAGGGACTTTATCTGTTCGAGAAATGTTAGCCGGCACTCGAGAAACCGGCCCTTATTCGGGTTTGACGCAGATATGGCATTTTTTTGTATTACCATTATAGTTACTTGAAATGCTTTTATTATTTTAATAATTTTAGATTATTACGTATACGCACAAAAATTAACCATGGTAAAATGATCAAACAAAGAAGGATGTGAGTCGGGCGCAGTAGGTCATTACATAATTGAATTTAATATAAAATCCATTTAAATTAAGTAATTATATAACCCATTGGTAAAACAGAAAAATGGAGGCGCATTTACTTTTGTCCCTTTTTTTGTCCTTTTTTAAAATTTTTTGTCCTTTTTTTCCCTGTTTTTTTTTGGCTTATCTGTCCTGTTTTTCAAGCTGAGTGATGGCAGCACTGATCTGTGTATCTGGCAGATGGGTAAAAGAAGACAAAGGATATGGGGATAAACAAAATTTTAAAAAAATTATTACTATCACCACACGACGTTAACAGTAAAAAATATTCTACAATATAATAAATCTTTGTATTAAATCTTAAATCTCTGAAACCTCAATATTTTGCTGTATAACATAAAGTATTTGTTTTAAATACGATCTATAATGTTATACTCTCGTTAAAACCCAAGAAACCAGGATACTAAGTATATTCTGAGTCGACTTATTCTACAGGATAATGGAAAGTATTTTTAAAAAATAATTTTCTTCACAAAAATTTTTGTTGATGGTATAAGTAGAGATATACTTCGACTGTGTAAAGAATAAGAGGTGCCAACCATATAGAGTACAGCCTGCCCACAGAGAACCCCCTTGTTAAGACCCCCCCCTCCTGCGAAATCCCCCTAGCTGGAAACTGGCAAAGCCGTGCAAAGTACTCGTGATAATGAGCTCCATCTCGTTGGCAATTATTAAATGAATTGGATTTATACGCTGTGGCACCCTCTCCCCTCCCTCAACACATCCCCTGCCCACCTCTCATCCTGCCTCCCGCTCACTCCAACGGCAAAAGAGTGTGCAACCCCTTGTTAGCAGCTGTCGCCTACTGTTGTCCCGCTCTAGCCCACGCAGATACTGCGGGCAGCCAATCAACGACAGCTGTCGGTTTATCTGGCTCGCCAACTGTGGAACATGGAAACTGCTTGTGGATTGCATTTCCCATATGCAGAGAGACCGGGACGGACTAATGGCAGTATGGAACGGGTGCTTCCACTGGAAGAACCTAATTTTAGGCGACTTTAATTAGTTTGCATTAATGCTAAAGAACTCTTATTTCAAGAATATTATAATAGTTACTGGGGAGTAATTAGAAGATGAACTGATCCGGAATATTAAGGCTAATCCTTTAATTCGTTTGGAAAAGATTAAAGCATTTAGGTATTGTTCATATTATTAAAAAATTATTTATTTAAATAAGTATTAATACAAAGATTAAATTCTTAACTGTCTGATATTTTTATTTCAGTAAAAAAAGTTTGAGTTTTAGAGACTATTTTTGTCTAAAAATTTAGTTAAGGTAGTTAGTTAGTTTTTATAATCTTAAAAAGAAAATTTCAAAATATATTATGATAAACAAAATATTTCGGTGTTAAAAAGGTTTATATTAATTTAAATTCCTAGAAAATGTCATTTATCCAAAGTTTAAATATCGCTTTAAATATATTCCCACTCACCAAAGCCGAAAGTTCCCTCGCGTTTTGTGAGCTGATAAACCAGGTATTTGCAGCATTTTATCTCTTTCGGGCCCACCTTCTGGTCATATATCAAGTGCGGTAAATGCCAAAAAATACGCCCCGAAAATCATTGATTGGCGATCGATAACCTTTCGCAGTGATGGAGCATCCCATAAAGTTCTCGTCCCAGCTCATTGTCTGACTAATTAAATGATTTATCCCGAAACGTGAGGCGGTGGGGCCGAAAGGAGAGGAAAAAGAGTAAAAACCAATTACAATTACCGCACCCAGAGGTGCCACACACTCACGGATACAGAGAATCGTACATATAGATATAGATACTCGGTTGCATCTGCGGCAGCCAAACTGCTGGCCCATCGACAACCAACGGCCTTATCTAGATGCATACAAATCCAGCCAAGCGCACGTCAATTTATTTGCCAACCTCTCGGCCCTCCTGGCTCCTTTGGGCCAGCACACATCCACATCCACAGCCATTCATGGCCAAAAGGAGAAGAACTGAGGAACAGGGGGTCCGAATCGCATGTATTTACCTATGAGAAGGCTGCGAAGTTGGCGCTGCATGTTTTATGCCTCCTCCTGCATCTTTAACGAGGTGTTTATTTTCACAACTCACAGCCAGCGGATGAGAACTGCGGATGGGGGGTACAGATACAGATACAGACACTCGGATGACCAGATACAGATACATTCCCAGCCCATGCCCGCTGTATCTGTGAGATTCGCGCTGCGAGTGTGCGCCGGCAGTTGCAGCTCGCCGAAGGTGTAGAAACCAAGTTACCGCCCATTTTCATGTCCAAATGCTTTCGGCCAACATGATGCAGATGCCAATTCGAGCCAATTCAGAATGGTGGAAAGGCCAGGAGGAGGACGAGGACGAGGGTGAGGGAGTGGGGGATGTGGCAGAGGGCCATAAAGTGGAAGAGGGGGCGGTGGTTATAGGCAGCACTGACGACGGGGCGTCTAAGCTATATAAGCGATGACGTTGATGCCGGTGTACAGTGGAATCGGAGAAAACCTTCTTCGATAAAAACGATTTATTAAAATTAAGTTTTTTAATTCGATTACAATTTCAATCTGCTCAGTTTATCTTGTATTATGTGTTAATTAAGGTTCAGTAACTTAATAATCAGCAAATTAGTAATTTATTAATAACTCAGTAAATCACTTATTTTAAATATTTTGCCGTTATTATAATCAATTTAGCAATTGTAATATGAATTTATTTTTCATTAGGTTAAAACAAGCCTAAAATGAACACTTTCTACATTAGTTTAAATATTTTAAGTTAATATATAGCAAGGCTAAATTTGTTATAATTTATTATAATTTTGAGCTTACTTTAAATATTAAAATCGAAATTTTGTGCTCAATTCCAAAAATATTTCTACATCAATATGCAATGTTTTAAATAAAGTTTAATTAGAAAAGACTTTTCAAAAGACTTTCACTATATATTATATTATTTTGAGACCCCTCTCCAAAATTTGTTTTTTACCACTGTTTAGAGTCCCTCCCCACGCCCCCTCCACCACCATCAAACTTGGCACTAAAACCACAAACGCTTTAATGATGCTGTTTTGTTTAGCGCAAATTGTTTGTTTCGCTGTCATAAACTGGTGCGAAAAATGGCAAAGAGAGCGAAAGAGAGGTGCAGAGAGAGGCCCCCGCTCACTCACACAAACTCAGAGCACGGAGAGCGAGCGAGAGAGGAGGTGGCTCCACTTTGGAGCAGAGCAGGTTTTTTTTTCCAAATCCACTGGACTATTGCTGCACTGCTTTGGCGCAGGCGCAGTGCGCAGGGTGTGCGAGTGAGATGCCAGCTATACACATAGCTCCCACTGGAAGCAGAAGAAGAAGAAGAAGCACGAGTACTGGCCCCACAAACTTTTTGCGGCTTTTTCCTTTCCATCGCGACACTCGAGCCAAAACGCTCAGCGTGAGAGCCACGCAGCGATTCGCCGACGCCCCCGCTAAAAAAGCAAGAAAGAGAGAGAGAGGGAGTGGAGCGAGCGAGAGAGACGGAGGCGGAGAGGAGCGAAGCCAACAATTAGACGCCTTTAGAAGCTCCATAATGCTAATGGCGTTGACAGTGCTCATCATCATCGCAGCGCGGCCACCGCAATCGTTTCGTTACCGGGCACCGATAACCGTTAACCGTACCGCCACCGGAGTCAATCATCAATCGTCCATCGCCGCCGCCGCCGCCGTCAATCGTCCATCGAAGCGGTACGGTCACGCTCCAATCGCCGCGTTGCCGCCGCTCCAGTTTATCAATGTCACGCCGACGGATGCCAACCGCTGGAGCATCGCAGATACAACCTATAGCTACATATAGCCTATAGCTATCTGATCTGAAAAACAGTGCGTGTGTGCTTATCTGATATCTGGAAACCAGTAACAAATAACAAATAACCGACGAACGCGATCGTGTTTCCTAAAAACCCCCACCCGAATATTAGGAATATCGATCAATACACCCCTTTTCCGTTTCCGATTCTGATCAATTTTTACTGTGTTGCCATTGATATTAGGGAAAGCTTACTTACATAAATAAAAAATTAAATAAATTAAAATTTAAAAAAAATTAAATAAAATGAGTTAAAAATTCAAAAAATGTTTGACTTAATGATTTGTTTTGTACATACCCCTATTAACCAACCAGTTTTCAAACAAACTATTTTTTCTTGAATTAAAATATTACGTTGCGATTTAAATAAATATTGGATAAATATGATTTCTAAGTTATTTCAAGTTCCAATATTTCGCAGATAGAAATCTAAAAAAAGGATTAAATTTGTAAGAAACACAATATTACCAATTGGGGCACAGCCAAAATTAATCAGATTAGAAAACGGAAAAAAAGTTTATTCGTGTACTTACAATCTACTTTGACTTGCAGTTCGAGTTTGAGAAGTTGGACAGTGTTTTATTTATTTGTTCAATCAACTAAACCCCAACCAAATGGTCACCTGCGGCCGGCAAACGTTCAACATGCTGCCCATGGCGCCGACGAGTCCTTTTGTGAGCAGCAGCTCCTCGATGGCCGCATCCACGACTTCCGTTTCCGCCAGCACAGCCTCCGTTTCGGCCTCGGCGGGCAGTAAGCCCAAGCTGGCCTTCAGCATCGACTCGATTGTGGGCGAATCCTCGACGAGATCGGCTCCCCTGAGGGTCAGTGTGATATCCTCGCCGCCGCCGCGCAGCGAAAGTCCCGCCTCGCCGACGAACACGAACAACAGTGGCCGGCGGACGCCGAGGGGATATATCTACTGCCGGAGGAGGGATTCCCTCGACCGATCGCGTAGTCCGCCAAGATCACCGGCCAGCCGATCGCCAACGCCTCCGAATGCAGGAGGGAATGGAAATGCGAATACTGCCCCTCAAAAATCAGGAGATCCCCTACCAGCGGGAGCGGGAAATCCAGCCAACCCAACACTCATCCGTCCGATGCCTTTGCCGGCGCCAAATCTAGCTTTAATCCAGAACCGCACCTCCCCGAACGCCATGGCGGTGCGCATGTCGGGTCCGCCCCACCCCCACCCTCCGCCGCCCCCGTTCCTTGCCGCCCAGTTCCAAATGGCTGCCGCACTGGCCCATCATCACCAGCAGCAACAGCAGCAGCAGCAGCAGCAGCAACAACAGCAGCAACTTCCGCCCGTGCCAACTGGACCGCCACATGGTCCGCATCCGCATCTGCCGCCTGGTCAAATTCCAATGGGAATCTTTCCGGGCGGTCCGCATCCAGGACATCCTCCGCCCCACGGACATCACCCCTTCGGGAGCGCTCCTCATCTGATCCGCGATAGCTATCCGCTGTATCCATGGCTGCTCAGTAGACATGGACGCATTTTTCCACGATTTCCAGGCAGTAAGTATTCTTACCTTTGAAGTACTCCCTTTGTATTACAAAAATAATTAATTTTTTTGTATATTAGCTAAATATTTTATTTTAATAATATTTTTATATATTATAATTTTATATAATATTTTATACTCTCTTCATACATTTATTTATTATGATTATATAAATTAAACCCTCTTTAACCACGTGCCTTTCGTTTTATATTTGAAATTTTTTAAAAAACCTAACCGGTTCAAAGATATCAACCGGTTTAGTAGGCAAAACATATATTTAATAGTTTTACATTTTTCAAATTTGGTAAATGTATTTTTATGCATAAATAGCCAATAAGAATAAATTGATATATAAAGGAATAGATTAAAGGCTGTATTTAATACACTTTAATTTGATTATTATGCATATTTATTAATTGAATATGAGCACGATTCCTATTTTAAACTCTATTTTTTGAAAGAGCTTATCATTATCATAACATTTAAGATACTGAAAATAGGTATTTTAATAGCTAAGTTGAAATTTGTTTATTAAATGTAATTTAAATAATAGTTGAGAAATGCCACCACTAACTTTTTGAATATTTATTTTACTTAAACGAGTTTTTCCTAGTCATTATAGCCGTTTCAAATGGCCGTTGAGTGCCATGAACCAAAGAGGGAAAGAAACCACACCTAAAAGTCATATTCGAGCCACACCGCCATTACAGTGGAGAGAACCTCAATCAAGCAATTATTTAGTTATCGCTGTTGTTGCCGCGCAGCTCCATATAATTAAAGTTAAATAAGCAAATGGCAAACATTTATTACAAGTTAATTAGACGTGTATCGGGCTCATCATCATCAGAGGGAGAGGGAGAGAGTGAGAGGGAGATGGAGAAAGGCAGAGAGGGAACCAAACCCATTTTGATAACTATTTCCAAACAAATTACATTTTAATTAAATTGTTTAAACAACATTACACACATCGTTAGGTCAAGCAGCGTACCTAAATGGCCAGCCAAGTGTGTGAGTGTGTGTGCTTTTTATATATGTATTTATTTTCTTTTTTCTCGAAATGAAATTACCATTAATGGCCAACAGACGGCGCCAGTTGCTCGTATGGCGGGCCCATGCGGCGTATGTGTAACGTACGAAAAGTGCAACCAGTGAAATGTTAATGCGTTTTTAATTGAGGTTTTGGGGCAACCAAGCAAAGAACCGAGCCGAAGAACGAAAAAAACTGAGAGATAGAAACGAAGAGCCACCGCAAAGCGCATCTCAAAAAACATTGTCATTTATTACGCTTTAACCGCGTTTTTTTCATTCGCTGCTCTCATAATTACCATTTGAATTTCCAGGCCATGTTGCTTTTCTCGTTTTTTTTTTGGTTTTTCGGGCTGGTTAAATATAAAAATAATTTTCGGCACACTCACACGCCTTTCACCTGCCCAAGTGTATATATATCTTCGTTACGCCTTAATTATGTTGTACGCCGTTTCATTATTTTCTCCCTTTTTCCCATTTCCCGCTCGCCTTCCCCTTCCCCCTCCCTTTTCTCACTTTCCACCGCTCCTACTGTAATTTTCGCTTGATTTATGAACGTGAAATGTCAATGTTTCGCATAACGATTTCATTAATTGTAAATGTTTTTCGTCTTCGTTTGTTTTGTAACCCGTGTGAGTAATACCAGGTTACATGGTGTTGTATTTTTTTGGAGTGGGTTTGGTATACAAGATAATGGGGATCATCGCGATAGCGGCGGTGATGATACGTCAGTAACTCAATTCAGGTTGCACGTGCTGCAATTTCTGGGTGTTGCCCTCTAATGCAGATGATTAAGTTCTAGGAAAAGGGTAACATTAAGCAGGTAAAGATCCCTAACATAACAGATCATTATAATTAAACAAGCTGCATTATGAATCTTACAAATCCTTTAAGACCAAGAAATACTTGATATTACTTTTAATAAGTTATTTTATAAAATATACTTACTAAACCTTACTGACATTGGAAAAAAAAAACAGTAAATAACTTATACAATTTAAATATTTAATTATCCAAGTCCTTAATTGTTCTCCGGGGCTAAATGACATAAAGACTTGCTTAAATTCCTTGAAGTGAAACTTGTTTAACGGCAAAATTACCCTTATTTTGTAAACATTTCATTAGTGGTAAGAAAAAATAAATTCCTTTACTACATGTGATTGCTAAACTGGTTCAATAGCAGGCCTTATACGTCGAGTGGCTATACTTCACAGTCATTAATTTGATAACTGCTACGATTTGATACGTGATTTAGTTTCTAAGCTCATTAAAACAGACTATAAAACTTATATTACTTAAGTTAGTGAAACTATACATTTATTTTTCTTAAAATCCCCTATATATTTACAGTAAGCAATTTATAAACCTATATTTAGTTTTTTCAGAATATAAAAGTAATAACTGAGCGTAAAGGTAAAAAAAGTAATTTCTTATTTGAAAAGCATTTTTTTTTCTTTCAAAATTGAAAAAACTTTAATTTTAAGAGGTGTGAATTTGTTAAAATTATTTTCATCTCATCAAAAAGATGATCGTCCAAAGAGCGGTATACAAAACTTTTATTTTACCCCCATTGAAAACTATTATCCCAAAAAAAAACCCACAAAATCCCATTCATATCCCGAACTGCAAATGGCCATTGCCGTCAAATCGATCATCACAACATCATCCCCGACTGTCATTCGATTTGATTTCAATTATCGATTTCGAGTCAATGTCCTCGGACGCGGGACACCCGAGAAATGCAATAAATTAATGAAAAAATCATGAGAGCATAAAAATTAAGCCCTAACTCGATAAAAAAGAAAGCAAATACAATTGCACATAAGTGATAAATAATAAGGCGAACAAAAAGGCCAGGACAGTCGTACAAACGAAAACGAAACGAACCGAACCCAATCCCCGTCCCATTCCATCATCGGCTAAAAAAGTGAGGTATATATATAAAAAAATGACAGCTGACAAGGGTGTGAGCCACTGCCACTGCAAATCCAACAACATGGCCAGCAGAGCGGACACATCAATTAATTGTCAATTGCGCGTATTTTCGCACGGCGGTTTCCTTTGTGTCCGCGAGCCTACAGAAAAAATCGAAAAAAAAACGCACACACTTCATTGAGAGCTGCTGCAGAGCTAGAAAAAAATGCAGAGAAAAAATAATTAAGTGGCCATTGTGAGCGGCGGCATTATCAATTATACAGCCTCTTCTAAGGCGCTGGGCAGTCGTGTATCTTGTATACTGTATCTTGTAGCTACATTGTTAGCTGTCAAATGTAACAAATGTCAAGCGATCGTGGAGTCTAAAAAAAACGACCAAAACTAGATCACTCGGGAGGCTGCGGATGATGCTACCTCCTGGCAATCGTTTGTCAAGTTCATAGCAAAAACCAAGCACGCAGTCAGTCGGCAGTTCAGTCAGTTGCATCTGTCAGATACACAGATACATGGCCATCAATGGTTCGAGGCTGCATTTATGAAGTGTCGAATTGACAAGTTCCCCTTGTTTATTTCCGAACCCTCCGCTTCCCTTCTTACTCATTGTTAGGTATTGTTTTTCCAGCCAGGCAGCGCTAACAAGATACTTTTCTGGGGTTGCATCTTGTATCTAATGGCTTCGCGCCCTTTCGCCAGCCCTTCTCCATTAGCTGTTTATTTTCCCAATGGCTTAGCTTCTGTTGAACAGACTTCCTGCCTCCGAAACCAATTCGATTCTGCTAGGACAATATTGATTTTGTAATTGGCACACCTTCAGCTTAGGCTTGCTCACTAAATTATATCACAACACGCTGGTTAAGGTAGAATGTTTGCTTTGTGAGATCAGGATCGCAGTTGATCTTAAGATGACAGTTTTTGGGGCTACTAAAATAATAATCAGGATTATTGGTCCAAGAAAGTCATTTCGCAGGCCAAAATATTGGATAACCGCAGAATTTGCTTTAGCTGTTTGGTTCAGGAAATAAATCCCTACAAAAATGATCCCTATTCTCTTAATAATAAATAAATTCATCTGCATGCCGATCGTTAACTAAATCAATCTTCATTAGATTTAAAAACAAGAGAGAACGCTATTGTCGGGTTGTTGTCCCGACTATCTAATACCCGTCACTCAGCTAAAGGGAGTGCGAACGCTGTGTCGGGTTGGTGTCCCGACTAATAATCGTAACTCAGCTAAAGGGAGTGCGAGGGAGATAGATATATAATTTTTGATTGCGTATAACTTTTTAATGAATGGTCCGATTTGAAAAATGTCTTCTACATTTCGATAGGTATAAATATACACAACAAAATTGCATTTATACTTCTCGGAAATCTTTAAAGATGTGGGCGCAGGACCCATTTTAAAATCGTTAGTTGGCGATTGTGGGCGTTAGAGGGGGCGTGGCGCTCGGCTAAAATAAACTTGCGCTGCGTAGGAAGCCAAATAATATGTGTGGGAAATCTCAACCTTCTACCTTTTGTAGTTTCTGAGATCTCAGCGTTCATACAGACGGACAGACGGACAGACAGACAGACGGACAGACGGACAGACGGACAGACGGACATGGCTAGATCGACTCGGCTAGTGACCCTGATCAAGAATATATATACTTTATGGGGTCGGAAACGCTTCCTTCTAGCTGTTACATACTTTTGCACGAATCTAGTATACCCTTTTACTCTACGAGTAACGGGTATAAAAATATTTAACACTGAAATTATTTTTTTTTAAAATTCTGTAGTATTTTTAATTCTGGGACGAAATGTTTAAATGAAAGATTTTCATATTTCAAATTGATTATTTATTTTTCCCCTTATTAAGTCAAATTTCATTTTTCCAAGTTGCACTGTGCTTTATAATTTTTTGCCAAGCAAATTCCTCTGCACCGTCAGAAATCTCAGCTGCATCTCGCACAGTAGCCCCTGCCCCATATCAATATTCAAATTGTGGCTCAATTGAAATTTGTTAACTCGCAGGCGCAAAAGCGGCAGTGAACTTGGCTCGGAGGTGAGGATGGGGATCTGGGCTTCCAGAAATCGTGATAAACGTCAAAATATCACGTTGTGCCGGCTGAAGAAAGAAGAACAATGGGTCCTCCGTCCTCGGTCCTCCAAAGAGGCGTCGTTGGCGGCTTTTAGGCGCGCTAAAGTGTTCGTCTTGGCGTCCAGGCAGAAGAAAGCCAGCTCAGCTCAGCTCAGTTGGCCAGCTTGGCTCGGCCAATTGTTTTGGCCTTATCAGCGATTCTGGGACATGGCAAAAAACACACAGCGCCGACAGCGGCACGAACCAGAAGCCTTTTGTGCCTTTGTGTTTGCTGGCCCATGTCTGGAAATTTGTTTATTGTTTTGTAATGAGCGTGTGCAACATGTGAGTGGCCAGTGTGCGGCATCTTTGCTCGCGGCATTCGCGGAATTCATAATCAACAATTTGAGGCACAACGTCATCTAATTGGCAGAGCCACCGGCGAAGGTTCAAGTCTTCCTCTGGCCAGATGCACTAAATAAATATATTTTTATTGTAAGGATATTAGTTACCTTGTAAATTACTAAAATCTACAAAATAAATGTTTTAATTTATGAGTTATCTGATAAAGAGTTTAATTTTAGCTTAATAAAAATAAATATATTTTCATAAAATTGTAATTCAATCAGTTAGGTATAAATTCCTCCTTAATGAAAATCATGATTTACTTCCAAACATAATATATTTAATTAAGACATTTTAATGGCTCCTAGAGTTCATTAACTTAGTAATTTAATACTTTTTTATGGATAATCCTAATACTAAATTTGATCACAAACATCATTATTAAACTAAAACGAGACGTGAATTTCATGCGTTAACATTAAACATTTTCCTGATGTTAATGAAAGACGCAAAGTTGATAAAAGGATATAAAGACTACTAATAATACTACTACATAATTTATTATATTTATTAATAAGAAATTAGCCGAAACTCGCACTCAGGGAAAAAATTGTTCTGATTGTGTCTAAAAACGTGTCTGTTTGAGTCTCAAAAATAGCTTTATACCGTTTTGTATCATTATAAGAATTTATGGTATTATTTCACCCAGAAAAAAAAATGACCTAAAATGTCAAAAAATGGCCTAGAATTTAGGTAAAATTGGCCTAAAACTGGAGCTAAGTCCTTGAATGGCCTAAAATTTAGGATTGTATGACCTAAAATCTTAGGCCATTAATGGCCTAAAATGGGGTAATTTTTGGCCTAGATTTTAGGTAATTGGCTGCCTTAAAATATGAGAAAACCCTATCCAAAATTTTAGGCTTTCTTTGGCCTAAAAATTTGTACTGAAAAATGTTTCATATTATAAAGTATATACAGAGAAATTTATAGCTAACTCGAGGTCAATGTCGGCTTAGTCTTCAAGAAGTCGTCATTATTCCAACACACAAAAACGAGCGAAGAGGCTTCACTGTTCAGCAGTGAAATCGCTGTTTTATTCAACGATCGAAGTGGGTTACCATGCAAGCCGCGCTATAACTGGTTGGGAATTATAGCGTCGCTAGAACGGTATCAGAGTTCCGTGCAAATTTATTTAGGTAATATGCATTAATTTTAAGGCCCACGATGACCTAAAATATTAGGCTATACGGAACCTAAATAGTAGGGAAAATATACCAAAAATTTAAATTTTTAGGCAATACATGACCTAAAAAGGAACTTTTAGTCCATTTAAAATGTTTTAGGCTATGCATGACCTAAAATGTTGTCCATCATTTTTCTGGGTGTTTAAGAACGGATTTTTAAGACCGCTGTTTTTACTTTAAGAACGAAACGTACTTAAATTTATATTTATTTTTAGTAAGAAAATAAATTTTTTTGAATGCTCCTGTAAGCATTCTGCCATGGAAGGAAATAAGAGGGCCATGGCCTAGGGGCCAAGATACTGGATTCTGGTATTATTTTGTGTTTGGGGGTACGAGGTTCAATTCCCGCTCACAACACAACTTTTTTTTTTTTGCAATTAGTAAATTAACAACTTAACTTTTTTAATACATTTTTGTTCTTAAAGTTATAAAGGAAATGTTAATTGAAATAAGTTTGAAAAACTTTTTACTTACTTTGACTTATTCGGTTTCAGAGGCAGACGCCTTACCAACTGGGCCATCGCACCATGTTACGCGCGCGTGCATAAGTTCAACTTAAATCTAAATTTACTGGTCTTAAATCAATACCCTTTGGTATTAATATAAGAATATGGTCTTAAAAAAGTAAAAGAACAAAACGGTATACATTACTACCGTCTAAGATTTTTTCGGTCTTTTTTTTCTGGGTGCGTTAATTGTTTGGTTGCGGTAATATTATAAAATTTGTCTTATATTTGTTCTCATCAATGAGATTATTAGATTATCCCCATGTGCACCACCACCACCCATTACAACTTTTCCTTTCCCGATCTCTTGCAGATTTCCTGTTCCAGCCATTCCGCAAGCCGAAACGCGTTCGCACCGCCTTCTCGCCGACGCAGCTGCTCAAATTGGAGCACGCCTTCGAGGGGAATCACTACGTGGTGGGGGCGGAGCGCAAGCAGTTGGCCCAAGGACTCAGTCTGACCGAAACCCAGGTGAGATGGAGATGGAGATGGGCCTTGCCGGGTGGCAGCCCTTAATGCGCATCAAATTCAATAAGCACCCCCAGTTCAACCCCTTCGGTTAGGGGCTAAGTGATTGCATGTCGTCTGGTCGTTAGCCCAAGAAGTGCCGGAGTTACTGAGTTATTAGCGCTTCGAGAGGGGGAGGGCGAGAGGCAGGGGAGCAGGTTAAAATTCCCGAAAGGGGGTCGTCTAGCACTTGACTCCGCACCCTCGGGGGCATAGCTGGGAAGCAGGCCGTAAATAGAATTAAAAGACTCGTTAAATTTATTTACGACTTGCCAAAAAAAAGGAGAAAACAAAAGCCAACTGCAAGGGTTAAAGACCCTCCCCCGAAAGGGCTACCCCAAGCTCAATTGCTTCCTGTAAGTGCACTAAAGAAAATATTTGTGCTTAATAGGGGTTAAAATCGAAGGGAATGGCGATAAGGTTGATTTGGTAGCTATTAAAATGAAAGGCTTTATAACAACTTAGTAAATAATTTGAAGTTATAACCAAATCTGGAATTATGTAATAATATTTTACTGAAAAATCAAATTAATATTTATTTTTAATAGACAATAAATAATTTGTGAAAAGTATTTTTAGTACCAAATTAAAGAATTTAAATTTTCCTTACTATTTATGATCGCAGTTCACTTTAAATAGAAATATAAAATCAGAAACTAATTAATTGGCAATTAATGGCAAGAAAAACAGTAGACATATTAAATGTTGATCAACTGGCTAGACATTCGTATATATTATTTGTATTTAAAGACAAAATAAACAGCATTTTAGAATGATGTGTTTTACAAAGAATTTAAGATTTTATCTTTTTAATATCAGACGAAGATGAACAGAAAATTCCGTAAACTATTGATTCACGTTGTATAATATTGCATCTCAATATTTTCCTTGACAGGTGAAAGTGTGGTTCCAGAACCGCCGCACCAAGCACAAGCGGATGCAGCAGGAGGGCGGCGATGGGAGCGACACCAAGAGCAACAAGGGCAGCTCCTCCGGTGGCGGAGGGGGTGGTGATGGGGAGGACGACGGCAAGCACGATGGATCGCAGCACAGCTACGAGGATGCCGAGGATCCCGAGGACGACGAGGAGATCGAGGAGGACGACGAGGACGAGGTGATCGACATGGATGACTATGGCAGCGAAATGGACGCGGAGGAGCACCAGCGACTGCGGGAGCAGTTCCAGCAGCAACTGGCCCAGCACCAGCAGCAGTTCCTCCAGCAGAATCCCGGCGATGCGGCGGCCGCCCTCAGTCCCCAGCAGCAGCATCAGTTGCTGCAGCAGCACCAGCAACACCTGCAGCAGCAACACCAGCAGCAGCAGCAACACTTCATCCAGCAGCAGCAACTCTATCTGCGGGAAAGGGAGAGGGAGCGGGATAGGGAAAAATCCCGGGAGCGGGAAAGGGAGAGGGAGCGGGAAAAGTAGTAACTTACTGCTTTCTCGGCTATTTTGTGTTCCTTTAATTTCTTGTAAATTATTTGTCAACTGTATAGCTTAATTTAAATTGTTTACTACTTAAAGAATAAATAACAAAGCCAATAAATAAAATAGAAACCTGCTTTTGAAAATCGGTTAACAGTGAAATATCAACATAGACATTTATCAAGCGATTATAGCCTGTACAGGAGTCATGCAAATCCACATATGATGGCCATTTATTGGAAACCTTCTGCCATCGCATGATAGACTCATTACAAAGGCACAACAACTATCGATCAGCTGCCAAAATATAACCAATCAAAGGGCCAAAAAAAAATACATACTGCTAACAAGGCCTTTCATTTATTGAGTTGTTGATGGAAACCCTCACTCCCTCCGAAAATTGACAGTAAAAAGTGCAATCAACAATTACGAGTTACGGTCTCATAAGGCGGCCGAAAAATAAATGTCAGTAACTAAAGGCCGAAATTGATGGCCAAAATTGATATTCAAAATGCAAATGATGGCCTATAAAGAATATTTACTATACAGAAATTGCTCCGAGGTTACATATAAATAGGTAGCCCGGGGCTAATGGGCCGGCAATTTGGCTTCATTTAAAGCGAAACGCGAGCTAAACCAAAAATTAAACTGACAAAACGGGAGGAGATCTCAAAGTGGCCCAAAATATATGAGCCCGCTGGCAATCGCGAAAACATAAATATACAGAAAATATAAATATATTCTCTGCGTTATTTTTTGATATGGCAGGTTAAGCCCTGGCGATCCGGCGAAAAGTTCAAGGTAATTGCCGTTGTCAAAGCAGCGCAACGAAAAGTGGGCGGGCACCGTGAAAACTTGGCCAACAATTTATGGCCCACTTGACTACAAGCAAAGGGTGTTGAGGTTGCACGCGAGCAATCACCAGAACCTCGGAACTCGAGAACTCCAGAGCAGCGAGCTTCCTCCACCAGAATGCCTGGAAAATTCTCGTATTTTGCATAAACGATGTGAGAATTACTTAATTGCACGAGGAATGGGCCCATGCCCACATATGCAATTATATATATCGGTTTGGTCTGCGTTTCCTCTGTGGGCGGCGAATTTATGAGTCTTTCGGCTCGACCCACAAAATGAAGTTGTCTACGGCGAAAAGCAGGTGTCTCAGCTGCTCGGGATTCGGGTGGTTACCTCATAGCAATGGAGGGTTGGGGTCACCACCTCACTTTACTTTGTTTGCCCTTCTGATAGCCAAACTATTTTGCAAATATGTGCCTCCATTAAATATACAGCTTTAGTGGATTTTCGTCCACATGTTCTTGGTCATGTTGGCCATCAGTTCTTAAGGTAAGAACAACTAATTAAATCAATTTTAGAAATTAATGTAAACTAAACTATACTTCTACTTACAATATTTGATTATAATTTATTAAGATACTTGCATCTTTAAACGCTTTTAATTGAAAGTGTTAACCTGACAGGTGTATCTGATTAGTTAATAGTAACATTAAATGCAGTTTTACTGTTTTTTGAGTTGCCATATTTAAATAATTAAATAGAATTTATTACCTATAAGCAAATCATATGAGGTCGTAATTTTTAAGTGTTTTCCACTTCCTTCTATTTTTGCAATCAAAGCTTTATGTTTTCACCTAACTTTGATCGACTTTTCCACTGTAGTTTCGTGGGTTTTCCGTTGGCAAACCCTTTCGTTTGATTTTGGCGTGTCTGCCAGCCGCGATGACGAAGACAAAGACGATGGCGATGACTTTGAAAACAAAGCGAAAGGGAAATGGCTTTCAGCCAAGGCACTTGGAGCATATTAAGGGCGTCATTAGTTCCCCAGGCAGTGCAAATTTGACAGGTGAAAGGAGAGAGGGGAGACTGAAGCGATTGAAGGGCCTGACACTTGCTGCAGTGCAGCAACAGCACGGCAGCAGTTGCAACACCAATAGCACAGCAGCAACATTAACCCTTTGAGGTAGCTAAGTTTTGAGTTGGAATATATGCGAATTTACATAAATTTCTTAGAAGCTTTCATTTGAAATGTTATTAAATAAATACTTTAAAAATCCCAAGAATGGAGCTAATCATTATTTTAATAGCTAAATATTAACAAATATACATTTTCTTATTGTACCTAACTCGACATAGGAAAGACTCAACTTGAAAAAATATATTTTTATTCTTTAGCGATCAATTATCTTGTGTGTACAAATTCCAAGCCAAAAGGGTTATTATTCGCCCAACGACTAACTAAGGGTTAAGCGAAAGCGAACGTGCTGGCAACGGCGTAGGCGTCCGGGTTGTTATTGTTGTGTCAGGTTTCAGCTATTTAGCGGCAATTTGTATGGGAAAAGTTTGCCAAATGTAAACGGAATTGCAGTTTAAACCTCATTTGGCGCACATCGTGGGCGGTCGATAGAAAAAAGGAGGGAAAAAATCAAATGCAATACCTGGAACAGCCATAAAAATAGTACGTTTAATAATTGCAAAGTGTTTTCTATTCGCCTTCGTTTCCAGGTCGTAAATCAGCGATTGTTCAGTCAGTCTCGGCTGGCGCCTCCTGCTCGAACATAAATTTAATTGAAAGACTGAAAGCCAGAAAGCCAAAGTCTTCGCCAAAGATGCCCGCTGGAGGTTGAGGCGTCAATTGGCAAATTGGTTTCCATGTCAGCCAGCAGGAAAAGTTAATTTTCTCGCCGCCATAAATAACACCCTGATCGACTGGAACTAAGGCATGGTCCTCCATGGATCTCCATCTCGCGAATGGGAATAGGAATCCGCATCGGCAGGTGAGCATGGGTGCTGTCCGTTTCGATTCCGATTGCAATTCCCTCACAGGCCATAAGCAACGTTTTTTAATGCTTTTTTAATTGGAAATGCACACCGGCAGGCTGATGATGCTCCGACCTGTCGGTTCTGCCATTACGTAATTGCAATTTAATGATCGAGTCGGCTAAAAAGTCAACAAATAATTTTGAACAAACACTAGTGGATAATGGACGGCCTCAGGCCGCCAGCCAATTTAATTATTGTTTACAATAATTTAAATACATATTTACAATAATTTCTTTTTAAGTATTTATTGAAAACAATATATATAAATTTTAACTTTTAAGTCTAGTATAAATAAATAAATAGAGTATCAAACATTCTCTATACCATTTTACGAAGTGCTTTTAATTGACTCTGTTAATTAAACACTTTAATAAATTGCCAATTAGGTAGAAATTGCACGGCACCTATAAGCGAATACGAATACTTTGGGGCCCAGCCATTGTAAAAGTTTTCCTGCACATAAAGGAAGTATAAATTACGGTCGTGGAAAATCTTTGACAGATTGCCGCACAAATGATTTGTTAATTTCGTATAATTTTGGATTTATCGGAGTGGAAAATTTATGTGGCTGCCCTGATGAAAATTAACATTAATTAGGCACGAAAAAGCGGCAACAAATTCAATTTGATGCATTCCGCTTTTTTTGAAATTTCTCTCTCATTTTGTGGAAATTAATGAGCGCCCATTTGGCGCACTCCTCGGCCACGCCCACAAGGAGCACGCAAGCTTTATTTCTCTGGATTTTTTCGTTTTCGTTTCATTCCGTGCTTTTTTATAGAATCTGCCTTAGTTATATTTATAAATTAATGGCCCAAGATAAATGGCAAGTGATTTGTATTATGAAACGCTTTTGGGAACCGAATTGGGCGCCGGGACACGTTGAATGTCTTCGCTCTACTTTCTGGGAGGCCCCGAATTTTTTGAAGCGAGTTCGGAGGGTGTGCTTGCCATGAATCTTTCGTATTTCCATTCCAAATACCCCTTTTTTCGGGGGTGTGGCATTTGGAGCAAGTTTGAGTTTATGTATGTGAAGCAAATTAAGGGAGCGATTTGAAATCGGCTGGGCCATAATGATGATGAGTTCTGATGAGTTGCTCGGGTATGACTCAGAAGTTTGATCACCTGGCGAAAGACTTTCAGTAAGGAAAAAAAAAAAAAACAAAAAAAGTAGTATCTAAAATATTTAGTTTAAATTTAATAATGTGTAGGTACCTACTTATACATATTTTTAAATTAAATTAAGAAACTAATATTCTTTATAAGGAAGAGTAGGAAATATTATAGAAAAATTAAAAAACTAAGTTTAAAGATTTTTATTGATAAATCATATTAATTAACTTCAATAAAAACGCCCCAGAGAATCTGGAAAAAAATCCACTTATTACATTTTGTACTAATATTTCCTAGATATCAATTTTGAAAGCATTTTTCAAGATTTTCCTCCCACCACAACTTGCTCCGCCCACCAACTTTCCTGCTTTTCCACAGCCAAGTACCTTCTGAAGTTCACCTGACCAGCCAATTAACTAATTAACCTTTGACCCAATCTAAGCCAGCCCCCTGTAACAAAATCAATAAGTGCATGTGGGCGCACGACACGCCCCCGAACATAAGTGAAGCTCAATTTAAAAGCCATTTCGCTTTGTCGCCGCCGACAAATTGCCGACATTTGCTATTAAAACCTTTTTGAAGACCCCCTTCAGAAGTCGGGGGATACGATCCGCTGTTTGTTGTAGGTATGCTAAAAGTTTTTGTGGCACAGCCGATAAATCTGCTGCCTCCAACAACTGCAACAACCACTTCGCGTCGGCCAACTACTTTAAAATAATTAATGGGTGCGGCCCAGCAACCGAAGTTAGCCAAGTTTCGACGCTGACAATTGGCTAAATTATGGGGTCGCAATGCAATTCTCATCGCTACGGGAGGGGGACTTAAGGGGAATTACACAAGGAGCGGGGTGCAAGAGCCTAGGATCGCTGACACCTGTCCCCCGGCCACTGTATCGAAGTGGCACTGTGAATGCCGTTCGCTGAGCCCGAATCAAAACAACAACAGCTGCCACATTGAGCCAGTTAATTAACACATTTCTGTGTGCAGCCGCTCATTAGGGGAAATCTGGCAAATTGCCAAAGAAGTGGGGATTAGAAGGGGTCACAAGACACCTG